TTTTCTTTTTACTAAAAAGAACTTTTTAGCTTTATTTCAGATGTTAGCAATGGTTATATGAGTGAAGGTGGAATTACGGTATATGCTCGTAAAATGCAGGCACGTTTTAAAGAAGGACTTGAAGCAGTACGAAATTCTATGCAACAACGTAATCATGATTTCAATGATAGGTTCGTTCATTAATTCATATTATAATTTAAATTCTTTTTATTAATTTAATTTTATCATATTCATAATTTAGATGAGTGAAATATTTTATTGTTTATTTCAAATTATATTCATATTAAAATTTCAAAAGTTAACTTTCTCTCTTTCTATTGTTTTTTTTGATTATATAAAAAGAATAAAAATATCATAATTGTATAATAAATAAAATTGCAATTATGCATTGATAAAATCTCTTTCTCTTTAATCTTTCCTTTTTTATTAACATTTTTTTTCTTAAAGATGTTTTGTTTCTTTTTTTTTTTTGTTTTTCATAATTTTTCAACGTTATTTCGATATTTATTCCAATTATTTTAATTCATTTCAAATATGCAAAGAAAATTGTATTAAAATTAAAAATGAAATAATAATTGTATAAAACTAGTAAAAGAAATAATTTATTGATTGATTTTTTCTGTTTTAATTTAATGCAATCATTTGAGGAAGAAGAAGCAAGGAAAGAAATTTAATTTATTAATGTTGAAAGTTTCATGAATAGATGAAATGGAATGAATTTAATTTCTTTTAATTTAATTAGTTTCCTTCGTTCTCTTTTTTTTTTTAAAGAATATAAATAAATTCTTTCCAAAAGTAATGAAGAAATAAAATTGTTATGTAACGCAAAATTTCAACGACAATAAATTAAATCAGCGTTAATTACAGGTACAAGCTCAGTCAAATTACACCATTATACCTGTTTTAAACAAGAATTTTTCCTTTCTTTCCGCTCAATTTTTTGCTTCTTAAATTACTTCTGTGCTTCAAAAGTATATAAATGTTTCTTACCATTACTAACTAATCGAATGATCGTTGAAATTTGAAATTCTTTCCAATCAATTTTTAATTAATTATTAATTTAAAATTGAATGAATTTTTAACAGTAACTATTTTTTTTTTTTGGTTTATAATATATGCTTAACTGAAGACATTTTAAATTCTCCATCAATTTATAATCAATAAATTAGCTAATCATTAATTCATTTCAATCAATTATTTGAAACAATTTTTCCTTTTTTTTGAATCATTCAATATTTTAAATCGATAAATGTAAAGGTTAATACCATGAAATATTTTTCATCTATCTTGGAAATTTATTGTTTTTCATAAGATATATACGACATTTGAATGTCATCCGATCCATTCTAATTTGTGTCATTAGAAATTTCTTTCACTAAGTTATACATACTAACTAACTGTCATCATCTTTTCAACTTTTATTTACTTCATTCTCATTTATCTTGTTTATCCATTTTGGTTTACTTCAATTTATCAATTCTTATCCATCCTTTTTCTTTTCTCTTTCTCTCTCTCTCTCTCTCTCTCTCTTCAGTTTTTGAATCAATTTGTTATTCACTTCATGCATGTTCATATTTGTCCCAAAATTATCATCATCATCATCATTATCATCATCATCATCATCATCACATCATCGTCATCATCACCAACAACAACAACAATTAAGTTTTCTTGTTATTTTCAAATTTTTCTCATCGTTTGAATTTTTCTTTTTTCTCTCAACAAATTAAATAGTACGAATGAAAAATTTTAGATTTATTTAACAACTATTTATTATAATATTTTAAAACTTATTGATTTTTTTCAATAATATATAATTTCAGTAAGTGAATTTTCAGTAATTTCAGTAAAATGCAAATTTAAATTTTTAAAAAGAAATTATTTAATCAACTATTTATTAAAATATTGCAAAACTTAGTGAAAAAAAAATTCCGATTTCTTTTGAAAAGTTTAAATTTGCATATTACTGAAAATACTTTCGGTAATGATTTTCTCCATTCAAAAAATTAAATTTTAACTTTCTCTTAAAATGTTTTCATGTTATTTAGCTGTATAACATATCAATTCTTATCTCTTGATTTAGTGACAACATATCATTTCTTATCTCTTAGTTTAGTAATGTAAATTATTTCAAAAATGTGTTGGTTAATTATTTCGAAGTAAATGATTAGAGCAAATGAATATTTGCGCATATGTCATCAATATTTTGGCGGAAATGACAATTCATTATGTATATTAGCATTTTATATTTTATGATCCAATCTTATTTGTCATACAAAATGACTCTGTTTGTGTAGCAATAATAATTAATACTTGATATTAGATTAGATATTAGCAATTAATGGAATAGGTATAATGAATTGGGAAGGTGGCAATTGGAAATATTTATACATTTCATTATTAAGTAAATAAATTCATATATGAGTGTTTCTTTTTTCATTTACTATTTTAATTTCATTTCATTTGATCACCACTGAAATGGAAAAATATCCACGGAAGAGAAATTGATTTTTTAGTAAAATTTTTAGTATATTATTTCTTTTTTCTTAGCTTACATTAATTATATGTGCTCTCTCTAAAAAAAATATAACTCACTCGCTAATTAAAACTAATTAAAATTAATCAGTATTTCGATTCAAAAGATAAAATTATCTATCAAATGATAAATGATCCAACAAAATGACATTAGGAAATTAATCAAATAATATTTCTATTCTAAAAACAAAGCATTTTCTTTTAAATTTGAGCTCTAAAAATAAATTTACCATTCAAAATATTACTTAATTAATAAATTAATTAAATGATATTTTTTGCTTCAAAAATAAAATTCTCACTTTTTATTTAAATTACCGTTTCAATTCCAAAAATGAAAATCATCTTATTGATTGATGAAATAATTAAATAATGTTTTTACTCTAAAAAAAGAATTACCATTTGCAAATTAATCAGGTATTTCGATTCCAAAAATAAAGTCATCATTCATTAATAAATTAATTGAATAATACTTCTCCAAAAATGAAACTATCACTTATAAATTAATTAGTATTTCAATTCTGTAGAAAAATCCATGATGATTATTTATTGTAATTGTATGAAAATTTATTTCCCTAAAACTTATTCCCTATTGTTTATTTAATGGATAAAATGTAAATAAGATTATTGCATAATGAATGTAAAATTAGAATTTATCATTACTTCCAAAGATACTACCAATCCTAATTGGTCATTGGCTAACTGAATCAGTTTAAAGAAGACATATTGGTCATTTATTAGATCAATCAGTATGGATAATTATTTGTGATTGGGAAGAGTTTTAGACTGACTAAATGATGCCAAATAATTTTGGCCAAAATCATAGGCTCAATATTTTTCAATCCCTTTGATTTCTATTTACTATCTGGTATGACTAATGATTTGAATTCAGGCCATGAATCATGCTTCCATACTCCTTTAGTTATATGTATATATATATATAAGAGAGAGAGAGAGAGAAAGAAAGGGAACTTGATTATTGGCTCTCTTTGATGGTGCAATAGTAGTACTAGATGATGGCTATCTGCCTTGACCATTGGTTAGAACTAAAATTGCTATAATTTTATCATTCATTTTAACGGATCAATGATTTCGTTGTCTAAATTACTCAGAATAATTTCAATCAAATGTATAATATCATTAAATTTATTGTGTTATTTAAATATGTTTACAATAATTTATTATAATATTTAAATATATTTAATTTATTTAGTATTTATTACAAATGATTTATCAAAAAATGTTACAATTCTTGTTTTATTCTTTTCTCCTTTTTTTTGACAAAAAATGAATTTTTGATGTGACTTCTTGTTTGTTTCTGTTTTCATTTCTTTTCTTCCAATAATTTTTTTTTTCGTATGGAATGATTTTATTTTATTTTATTGTATTTTATTTTATATTATTATGTTTCATTTCATTTCATTCCATCCCATTTTATCCCATTCCATTTCATTTCATTTCATTCCATTTCATTTCACTTCATTCCATTTCATTTCGTTTCATTTCTTCTCCTTTCACTTCATTCCATTTCATTTCGTTTCATTTCGTTTCATTTCACTTCATTTCATTTCATTCCATCATTTATTTTTCTGTTACTATTTTCTGTTTCTGTTACTTTCTTTTTACTATATTTTTTAGAAGAATGCTCGATATTAAATTTTTTTTTAGGTTCCAGTTTGATTATTAATAATTTTAATTTGTCTTAATTGATTTATTAAATTAAATTTTATCTTTACTTAGGTTTCTATTTATGTTAAATGTTTG